CAGGGCTGGGCTGACTGAGGCAGCTTTGAGGGGGTGTATGGCGCTGGGCTGCTGCAGTTTCAAGGTAGCAGGTGACACAGAGGCATCACTGAGATGGCTTGGACAGCAGCAGCAGGCTTGCTGAGGGACTCCTTGCAGGCTCCTTCCCCAGCAATCAATACTGCAATGGTTCCAGCTGGGGGAGGTGGTAGAGCCCTCAGAGCTGTCTAGGCAGCTCTTCCCTTAGGGCTGGAGATGGACCTGCCCAACTTTCTTGGACAACAAACTGTAAGTAGGGAGCAGGGCAGTCGATGATGGTCCCATGCATTGACCCATTAGCCATGCACAGCCAGGATAGGACTGAGATAAAGAATGTTGCCAAGGCAGGGGTGATGGCAGTCTTACGTAATTGATATTCTTGCTTAATTAATTGCTGGCTTTCCCCCATTTATTGTCAGTCTCCATTCCTTTCCTCCCCCAGGCCAGCACATACATGCACAAACCAAAGGGAAGAAATTTGGTTTGTTGTTGGGGCTGCAGTGAAATTACAGGGAAAGGCTGAGTTCCTTAGACTTCTGAGGTAATGGCAACTGGATGGATGTTTGGAAAATTAACCTGGATACAATCCCATACTTAAACTCCACACCTTCTATTTGATCTCAAATGTCCAAGTTGTTTGTGGGGGGAGACTGGAAAGAGCTGACTCTCTCATACTGTAGGATTTTAGTCACTCTCTGCTTCCACCCTTCTTTGCCCACAATGCAGCAGCTGGGTGGGAGTGCCTCAAACCCTGAATCTGAAAAAATGTGTTAAAATGGAACCTTCTCAAACTTTTACCTCTAAAATTCCTCCTACTCACTCATTTGTTAGCAACATGCTGTATTTCATGCTGTGTGTGGTAACTCACGATAACTACAGGCATTAATATTTACTTCTGATTTAGACCTTTTTTTGAATATTTTTAAGTATTTTCATAAAGAACCCCCAAAAGGGACCAATTATCTCAAGACTTTGTGGTTCCCTAAAACTAAGCAGGAGACCCTGTTTCAGCTCTAGACTGTTCTAAAAAAGGCTTTGGAATTATTGCTTTTATGAACTCTGATTTCAAGGGATTGTTACATGGCAACACTTGTAATCACTCTGGCCTCTGCCTGTCAGAGTTGGTCAGCTAATACCACATTTTTAACTAAACGTTAACAAAACCGGATGAGCCGTTTTCTCCTTTGCCTCCACAGGGGAGCTATTTTATGTACCTACAATGTATATTCCACCTTCTGCTAAAAAGTGTGCTTGAAAAAAAGACTCAAGAAAATGAATGAAATAGTAATCTTAACTTATTTATGTACCTACAATGTATTTTTATCTTTCAGCTTTGCCAGCAGTTCCGTGAAATGATAGTCCTGTGTTTTTTGTTGTTGTTTTGAAGTCCATACTCTACTGCAACATCAGGAAGCAGCATGGTGACAGGACTAGCCCGAGATGGGCTCCACCTGACGAGGGAGGGAAATAGACTTCTGGGACGGAGGTTAGCACAACTAATTAAAAAAGCTCTAAACTAGGAATTCAGGAGAGATGGTTGGGAGATGCCTGTTTCTAACATTGAGTGTGTGTGTGTGGGAGGGTGGAGGGGGGAATCAAGTAAGAGGGGATACAACAATGGAGAGAGGAACAACAGAGGGGAGGAGAATGGATGTCCAAAGGAAAAATAATGCTAATGCCAGTGACAGTCAGGTAGACGATACTGGCAATGGAATGACTGTACCTAATCAGGTGAAGTCAAGCAGAAACAACTAAGGTGTTGTCTGTATACCAATGCAAGGATTCTGGGTAACAGCATGGAGGAACTAAAACTACTAGTGTAGGAAGTGAAACCAGATATTATAGGGATTAGAGAAACATGGTGGAATAGTAGTCACGAGTGGAGTACAGGTATTGAAGGGTATGTGCTGTTCAGGAAAGACCGAAATAAAGGTAAAGGTGATGGAGTAGCATTGTATATTAATGAGGTAGACTGGAAAGAAATTAGAAATGACGGAATGGATAAAACAGAATCTGTTTGGGTCAAAATCACTTTGGGGAAGAAAACTCTCAGTGGTTCCACTGAGATAGTGCTTAGGGTTTGCTGCAGACCCCCAGAATCTGATTTGAATATGGAAAGACTGCTTTAATATTTTTAATGAAATACATATTACTGGAAATTGTGTGATTATGGGAGACTTTAACTTCCCAGATATAGGTTGGAGGACAAGCACTACTAATAATGGTAGGGCCCAGCTATCCCTGGATGTGATACCTGACCGTTTTCTTCACCGAATAGTCTCTTAAACCAACAAGAGGTGATGACAGTTTAGATTAATAAGTAGTGAGGACCTCGTAGAAAACTGGTTGTAAAGGAAAGCCTTGGCTCAAATGATCATGAGCTAATTCAGTTTCAACTAAATAGGTCTCCAACCAGGTCTTTCATTTCAAAAGGGCAAACTTAAAAAAAATTAAGGGAATTAGTTAGGGAAGGGGCCTGGACTGAAGAACTCAAAAATCTGAATGTGGAGGAGGCTTGGAATTATTTTAAGTTGAAGTTGCAGAAGCTATCTGAAGCCTGCATCCCAGGCAAGGGGAAAAAATTCATAGGGAAGGATTGCTGGCCAAGCTGGATGAGCAAGCATCTGAAACAAGTTACTGAGAGGAAAGCAGAAAGCCTACAAGGAATGTGAAGGATCTATAAGGAAAGCTATCTCTCAGAGGTCAGAAAGCATAGAGGAAAAAGTGAGAACTGTTGAAGGCCAGGCAGCGATGGACCTTGTAAAGGAAATTGAAATCAATAGTAGAAGGTTCTATACCAGTGGTCCCAAACTGTGAGGTATGCCCCTCTACGGATGTGCAGAGGGATGTTTCAGGGGGTGCAGTAGGGCCTGGGCCAGCCCCCGTGGAGGGCAGGGAGGGAGCACCGCCCAGCTCTGCTGCAGCCCTGCCCACAGCGGTGGCACCATCTCCCAGCTGCTGCCATGGTCCCAGTTGCTGGCTCTGCCCCCGGCCATGGCTCTGCTGCCAGCCCTGACCGTGTCCCCGGTCCTGCCCCCAGCCTTGGCTCCTGGTCCTGTTCTCAGCCTCAGACCTGCCCCCAGCTGTGGCCCTGGCCTCAGCTCCTGGTTCTGGGCCCAGCCGCTGCCCCCTTACCCCTGTCTGTTCCCAGGGGGAGGGGAGAGTTTGGACAGGGGTTAGCGGGGGCGACACATGAAGAGTTTGGGGACCACTGTTCTATAACCATATCAACAAAAAGAAAACAAGGAAAGAAGTGGGACTGTTAAGCATTGAGGATGGCTGGAGATTAAAGATAACCTAGGCATGGTCCAACAGCTAAAAGAATACTTTGCCTCAGCTTTTAATAAGCATAATGGGGAGCTATGGGGTAACAGCAGGGACAAATGAGGATATGGAGGGAGAAATTTCCCCATCCCAGGTGGAAGTGAAACTCAGACAACTTAATGAGACCAAATAAGGAGCGTCTCAATAATCTCCACCCAAGAATATTAAAGGAACTGACGTATGAAATTTGAAGCACAACAGCAGGGATTTTTAATGAATCCGTAAACTTGGGGGTCATACCCTATGACTGGATAATTGCCAATATAGTACTTATTTTTAAGAAATGGAAAAAAGTGATCGGGAAAACTACAGGTCTGTTAGTTTGACCTCAATTGTATGCAAGGTTTTAGAACAATTTTTGAAAAAGAGCATAGCTAAGGACATTGAACTAAAAAGTAATTGGGATAAAATACAATACGGTTTTACAAACGATAGATTGTGCCAGAACAACCTGATCTTTCTTTGAAAGGGTAACAGATTTTTTAGACAAATATCTAATCTACCTGGATTTTAGTAAGGCATTTTATACAATTCCACATGGGAAATTGAGTGAAACTGGAGAAGATGGGGATTAATATGAGACTTGAAAGGTGGATAAGGTACTGGTTGAAGGGGAGACTACAATAGGTCGTACTGAAAGGTGAACTGTCAGGCTGGAAGGAGGTTACTAGTGGAGTTTTTCAGGGATTGGTCTTGGGACCAATTCATGACTTTGGCACTAAAAGTGGGAGTGTGCTAATAAAATTTGCAGATGACACAAGATTGGGAGATATTGCCAATATGGAGGAGGACAAGAATATCATACAAGAAGATCTGGAGGACCTTCTAAACTGGAGTAATAGAAAAGGGCCTTTATGGGATCTGCCTTGTAAGAGAGTGTTCTCAAAAGTCTGTCAGTGTTTTTTCCCCCAGGCTACAATTCAGATCCACTTCGTGTTGTGTCAACCAGGCAAGGTACTAACAAGCTTCAACAGGACTTTATTTTCAAAGTGGAAACCTCTTTACCAAGCTGCTGCTGCACCCTCTGTAGCTTTCTCCCAGCCTCTCAACTCCTCCCTACTCCTTCCAGTTTCCTGTCCTTTCAGACTCCCAACAGCCAATGCTCCCAATTCTAATAATTACAAGCAACATCTAAACACCACACTTAGGTGAAGACGGAGTAAAACACATCCTATTAAAGCCCAGGGGAGAACCACTAGAACACAGAATATAAATCATGTCTGCCACATATGGGGTGTGAGAGGTTTTGTGGGCTATTCTATCAATTTCCGTCACAATGAGAAGATAAAGGAAATGTTACCTTTCTGTTCCCATTATGGATAAACTATTCTCTTAGACTCCACTATTCTCTCTGCTTGTCAACTGAATGAAGAGGTTGTCCTACCTGTTTTATTACCTGGACTTATTTAGAAATAGAGAGCGAGCACTTTTCTTCTCTAATATTTCACATCAAGAGTCCATGCATCTAATGAAGAGTTCACAGTTTACATATTAGACAAAGATGCAATATTAAAACAAGTATTGATACCAAAAAAGGTTGCAATTGGATGGGCTGGTAATTCTGGGATAGTTTATTGCTGAGCCTGAGATTACAATGTTGTCATGTGCAGATAAGCACTAGCCTGTTAAACTGGCAGTGAGACACATGGCTACTGTGGTTGACATACACATTTTTATTTTGCTGTATACATAATACATCTTTTCCTTTCCCGTGGATTACATTTTTTTGGCAGCGTCTCTGGGAAGGAGGAAAGAAACTTGTTTTTGTTTGCTCAGTTGATTTTGTTTGAAATTTTGTACCTTTTCATTTCATGTAACTTTGCATTTATAAGTTACTAGTAGGATCTGATTTGTCACAGTTCTCAATGTGAACGTGAGATGTTATACGAGGATACACTCTTTGCATTGGCAGCATTACTCCAATTTTGTTGCCCTTTGCGATCTGGCCTTGGTATTTAACAGGCTTGATATAGAACATTTTTACGCAGAAACCTTGATGGGAGGAACAAAAATAAAAGAGAGATTAAGGAAGGATAAAGGAACCGTCAACGTTTCATCATCTGATCTCCTTGGCTGTTTCTACTCTGGCCAGAGTCAAAATATCTTCCACTCTAGTACTATTCATTGGTGCTAAAAGTGCTTTCAGCACAAGTCCAGTCCAGTCTACAGTATCCATGAAATTGAGGTTTTCAGGGCTGTTGTCCTTTGATGGAAAGTGGGGAAGAATTTTCTCTAAAAGAATTGAACTACAGTATATTTCAAGATCCATGTTCTAATACTTTGTTTTTCCTCTTTGTTTTTTTCACTTTAGATCATCATTTTGTCCCATTGTCTAAGTGGGTGGAGAGCTATAAGGGAAAAGGATTGTGTTGATGGTCCTGTTTATGGAGAACTTGGCCTGTCATGTTTTGAAGAGTGAATAAGTTGTGCTTGGATTCAAATACAGGAACAGACAGTTCTGATTGAAATACAGGCTTTGACCTATTCTGTACAGTTTTGCTTTGTTTACCATACAACTGTGTTTAGGTTGTGCTTCTTCCACAACTCTCCAATTGGTAAAGAATCATGAAGGGAAAATTATTTCATGAGAAATATTTAATGTTTATCAAAGATCAATACTATGGTAGCTCAGTTACCTGATCCACGGAGTAGGATTCCATTATTAATGGCATTATTGATTTTATAGGGGATAACTTGTCTCTCAATAGTACCACTAAAAGGAGCATACACTGTTGATCCATCGTTGCATACAACATCCACCCCTAGATGTCGTCTTATGGTGCCATCTCTGAAAATGTACACATGTGTAAGTAATGAAGCATTGCTGATTTACATATTCTATAGCCATAATGTCTGATACCTTATACCATGTAGATTATTTAAAACAACACTGGGGCTGCAGCTTTTTATTATTAAATTAGTTGTATTTTAATTTTGTAGCTTTGTAATGCAAGTAGAAATATTTGAGGCTTCAGTCCAGCTTCAATAGCTGAAAAACTCTCAAAAGTTAATCAGATCTGGTTTTAAAAAAAACCATAGGTTTCAATTTCCATGCAAAATATTTTAAAAATCAAAATATTCACTTTTACATTTTTTAAGAGGTGGAATATAACCCATGCCTAGGGGATTTTGTTTTTATATGAAAACCCAGAAAAAATGTATAAACAATATGCAAATTTTCTCACAGGGACATGGGAGGAAAAATCTTTTGTCATTAAAAAAAAATAAATTTGATGGAAATATTTTGACCATCTCTACTGTTAATATCCCTAGTTAGCCTCATGTTGCTAGCAGACTGATCACTTACAAGGCTAAAAAGAACACTTGACCTTACACTGGTACAAATCAGCGGAACTCCAGTTGACTTCATAGGAGCTTTGCTGACTTACACCAGCTGAGCATATGACCTATGAGCTGGAGACTCAGATCACTCAAGCACTTGGAATTGAGACCATTTCAATGTTATTTCTTAACTAGTTCTGTCCTTCCCATGTCTAGAGCTGTGTGTATAATCATCTGGTGGTCTGAGTCCAATTCCTAGTGGGCAAATATCCTGTTCCCATCACAAAAATACTTAGAAGTAGCACTAATGTATGTAAGGATCCTTCTTGAAAGCCCCAACAATATGAAGGTCAAGGACTAAATGGGTCATGGAGTCCGCTATCTCCCATGCTCAGTGTGAGTCTATCACATGAGGGTTATTGCACAGAAGAAGGACATTGACACATTCTTTTTTCATCAGTTGGCCTACAGTGGTGTCATTCTGACACACTTCACAAGGCTTAAGTGCTTTAAATGATGGCTGCTAAACTCAGATTTTTTTGTTCTAAGTGAACATTTAGTTATTTTAGCAACAACAATGAACCAAGAAAAAAATGCATTGCCAAAAAAAGTGTTAATAAGTATACTACCTTGATTTCCTTGGAGCGCCGTAATTTCCACATCCTTTGATATCACAGCCCCTTACTTTGTTTGAAGGATTCCCAGCACATATTTGTCCCCATGGTCCTGCAACAACTTAAAAAAATATAGAAAATTTAAGCATATTTTTCATTTTTCTGTGATAGAAAGTTACATATTAAGTATTTGCTATGCTACTAATGGGATAAAATTGGAGAACATTGGAATTAATTAGTAATCTGCTTTGTACAGTGACACTTTCCAATACAAATTGCTTGTGTGAGTCCCTGAAACTAGTGGCTCTGTCATTCTTTACTTCAATGCAGTGGTTCTCAAACTTTTGTACTGGTGACCCCTTTCACATAGCAAGCCTCTAAGTGCAACCCCCCTTATAAATTAAAAACACTTTAAAATATATTTAACACCATTATAAATGCAGGAGGCATTGCTGGGTTTGGAGTGAAGGCTGACAGCTCGCGACCCCCCCATGTAATAACCTCGTGACCCCCTGAGGGGTCCCGACCCCTAGTTTGGGACCTCTGCTTTAATGTAAGCATAGTGGTGTTTTTTACTTTAGAAGAGAAGATTTTGAGATTTGATATAGGGATAACTGATCCAACCAACCCTTTTTTTTTTTTTTTTACAGAACTCGAAAAGAATTCCCATGCTTGACTTAGATTGTAAAATCTTTGGAGCAGGGAATCTCTGTCTGTTGTTTGAACAGCCCACAGTGCAATGGGGTCCTGGCCTATGACTGGGACTCCTACGTGCTACTGTAATGTAAGTAATGAATAACAACTGAGGCTAAGGGTCAGATTCTATCCTCCTCCTTGATTGGGGAAATTTAATGATGGTAATAAAGCATTTGAGGGCATTATTTAGCTCTGAAGTAGAAGAGAACACGTGGGGTCACAGGAGCTATGGATGTTGGCTTTCCATCAGGCTGACCTATTCACAGGAAAGCTTAGCACATGAAGTCAAAAAATGAAAGAATTCTCCTTTGTAGCTGCAAGTTGAGCAGCTGCCTCAGGGCAGCAGGAGACCACGTATAAATAATATTTTGGCCTTTCCAGCTTGCCTAACCCTGACTCTCAGGACAGTTAACCTGCAGAGCTGGGGATTTGCAGTTTGCAAGTGTTCCATTATTGCTAGGAAAGAAGCGAGCAGCTCCAAGCCCCAACTTCTGAAGCCTCCTGAAGCCTGTTCTTGGACTTCAGTGCACTCCAGATCAGGTTCTTGGCAAGGCTGAAAAGAAGTAAATTACTTGAGTGTACTGAGTTAAAATGAACCTATTTTCTCCTTCACTTGTTTGTGTATGTTGATAATGGAGAAGTTATTGAAGGCTGGTGGGAATCTGACAGACATCTAAGAAGAAAAGATCTTTTTTATATAGAAAATACATATATTCATAAGCAGATATTAACATAAATAGCATTGTTTCCATCATCTTGGCTGTTGTTCAACCCTTACTCAGTTCTCTATTTCGAGATGGACAACCCAGACTCCGTAATTCAGAAGATGGTAGTGTCACTTGGAAGCAGGAATACTTGGAGTACTGTATTTAGTATATAAATTTCATCCAGTGCAAACAGGATGTAGGATCTAGACAGCCAAGCGTTGTTGAACTTGAAATGTATGTTTTATCTAGTTAGAGGAAGAACTTTCGTTCATTGGAAACACAATCCTTAGAAAAAGCTGCTGAGTGCCAGCAAAAAAACCTTCTCAGGCTCTGGTTTCTCCCAGCCCCATTTTTCACAAAGAGGCTCCATCTGTGCTAGATTTTTCCTAATATTTCTCATGGTTACTTCTACTAGCGGTAGGAACAGCAGAAGAGATAGTGTAGAGCAGTCACTGGTGTTTTTACCTCCTGTTATCTAACTAGCCCAGTGTGAATTTAGATGACAGGGTGGTTAAAATGCGAACCGCTGCTGTTAGCTGGTCTAAAGTAGTACTCCTCCCTGAGTTTGCCACTCATTTAGCTGCCCCAATGGAACCAACTCTAGGAAGTCTTAAGAAGAAAAAACCTAGTGCAGACAAGACCAGAGACTCTGGGACTGATTCTGATCTCATTCTGTTTAAAATCAATGAAATTACACTGGTGTAAGTGAGATCAGAATTGGGTCACGTCTCTTCAACCTTTGAAGGTTAGTTGCTCAATATGACTTTCTCTAATATCGTGTTACAAAGACACAGTAAAAGGTAAATTCCTCTAGAAATAAAGTAGAGCTAATAACTTGAGTGATTGCATATACTCTAGTTTTCAGACCTATTAAGACTAATTTAAAATCATCTTCATTTTGAAATTAATGTGGTGTTACTTTAAGCCAGGGATAATCATTTATTTTTTGTCAAGGTTCAAATTTCTTGGTCAAGCTATAATCAAAGTCTAGACTTCAGAGAAAATAATACAAAAATAACAATGATGATAGTAAATAAGACTTCACGGTCTGTTCAAAAGCGTCTGGTGGTCCAGATTTGTGTGGCGGTCCGCCTGTTGGCTACCCCCTTTAAACCATGTAGTGTATTATAGTAGTCACTACAAATTGCTGCTAAAATAGATGCACATGAATAATTTTATATTTTGTCAATTATCTAATCTTTAAAGGATGGATTTTGCTTCAAGAATATTAAGCTGATATTCCACAATCTGCTAAAAAGTCTGTTTGAAAACAAGACTCAAGAAAATGAATGAAATAGTAATCTTAACTTACCAATGGAAACCAAGGCAATAAAAACAATCAATTTGAGTGGGAACATTTTGCAGATGTTTCACCGGAGTTCTCTGCCCAAATTAAAGTTATAACATACAACGTCTCTGCTATTTATATGTTCTAGAAAGGCTGAGTCTGTTTGCCCAGCAAATCAGAGTTTAGAACTATAGAAGGCAGAATTTTCAGATTACACAACTCTGATGTCAAGAAAAAATATAAGCATTGATGTGTCCAGTTGTGAAATGGAATAATTAGCCCCTTGCAACATAAAAGCAAACGGAAATGAAACAACGGCCTCAAAAATAGCACAGCTCTTGAGGAGGTACAGTTATACCACATCTTCCTCCAGCTGCAAAAGCTGGGACCAAGAGAGCTGCAGAGAGGGGCTGGGCGGGGGCGGTACTAGAAATATGTTGCACGGGCCTTGAGGATCCACAAGAGTTGAAGAGAGGAGCCAAATGCAGTGAAATGTCCTAGGTCTTTTATGCACAGCCAATATGTCTGTTTTACTTGTTGCTCCTACTGCTCCTACTAAACCACTGCTGCCTTCCCTTGATGTGTGTGTTCCTTATAACCCTTTCAGTGGGGTCACAGAAATTATAGCAGGCAAAGTTATTGCTGGTTGGGTTAGTATAAAACTGCACTTAAAAATTCTGTAGATATTCTGCAACTTTTAGATGGAAAATGCCATTATTCTGGCCAGCCAGTTGCTCATCCTTTCCACTGGTGCTGGGGCATGGCACATAAATGGTGTGGAGAAACTGGTGGTGGCTGCCTGGTTATATCCAGTAATTAATTACGTTTCCTCTTTCCCAGTGCAGTGCTTGGAGCATAGGGATCACCTATATGTGGTTGTTTGAAGAGCAAGGCTTAAGCTATTGTTATACTTTGTTCCATGGTTGCAACCATCTGCTAGTGGTTTGGAGAAGTAGCCCATATGACACTGCTAGACCAGGTGCCAGCTCATGACAAGGCCCCAAGGCCTCACTTAGCACTGACAAATGCACAGCTGGAAACCAGTCTGGCTCACCGGCATGTTAGCATTGCTGAAATAGAAGTTCAGTTTATAAGAATGTGTTTAGAGTTGATGAAATGCATGTATTGGTCTCACTTATAACATCTGTATTCTATGGTATCTCATGAGTGTTTGCATTGTAAAACTTCTGTTGGAGAACACTTCAATCTCTTTGATCACTCGATTACAGACCTAAAAGTTGCAATTCTTCAACAAAAAAACTTCAAAAACAGACTCCAACGAGAGACTGCTGAATTGGAATTAATTTGCAAACTGGATACAATTAACTTAGGCTTGAATAAAGACTGGGAGTGGATGGGTCATTACAGAAAGTAAAACTATTTCCCCATGTTTATTCCCCCCCCCCCCTCACTCCCCACTGTTCCTCGGATGTTCTTGTCAATTGCTGGAAATGGCCCATCTTGATTATCACGACAAAAAGTTTTTTCCCCCCGCTCTCCTGCTGGTAATAGATTTCAGAGTAGCAGCCGTGTTAGTCTGTATTCACAAAAACAAAAGGAGTACTTGTGGCACCTTAGAGACTAACAAATTTATTTGAGCATAAGCTTTCGTGAGAAGTGTGTACTCCTTTTCTTTCTGCTGGTAATAGCTCACCTTAAGTGATCACCCTCATTACGGTGTGTATGGTAACACCCATTGTTTCATGTTCTCTATGTATATAAATCTGCCCACTGTATTTTCCACTGAATGTATCCGATGAAGTGAGCTGTAGCTCACGAAAGCTTATGCTCTAATAAATTTGTTAGTCTCTAAAGTGCCACAAGTCCTCCTTTTCTTTTTGTGAATACAGACTAACACAGCTGCTACTCTGAATTCTGTAACTGTGTAACCCACCAACCAGGAAAGAAGCCTTAATTAATGAATAGTGTTGGTCCTGCAAACAAGACCCATTGAAACCAAATGAGCCACTGTGAAATATCAAAGGACCAAGATTTCGTTGATTGTCCCCTTCTCCATCTCCCCCCACCCATGAAGAGGAGACAAGCGCCAATGTAGGACTGAATAAGCTGTGTCTAAAAAGCTTGTACACTTTCACCAGCAGTTAGTATTGTAGTTTTCACTAAGAACCAGCAGGCTGCCCTTGTTGATCAGTTTTCCAGTCACTAGATTTGGTCACAAGTCACTTTGAAGCTATAATGTGCTGTGGAATTGTTTGGCTTTGTTGTAACCTCCCTGTTCTCGGGGAAGTACAATCGGAAGGCCAGGCCCTATTCTGATGACAACTCTGAACTCTGGGTCTTCACTAACCAAGGCCAGCCAACTGTGAATGGGGTGCCGTGGAGGGATAGGGGAGTGATGTGTTAAAGGGCCATTAATTCATGGGACTTGCCCTCTGCAAAGTGGGGAACTAAGGCAAAGGCACTGCCCAATGCGCTGTGGGATCAGGTTTGCTTACGGTCATGTGCTTTTGAATGTGGTTGGTGTTTTCCCAGATTAACACTTGGTTCCCTTTCCCTTTTAATAATAGTTCGCTTTTTTATACACTGACTCAGTGCTCACAAGTGGGGAGGTATTCCCTCTTAGAGGAACCCATGGGGTCTTGTTAGGTTTTCCCTGATTAGTGGATGGGGGCTTGAGCTGGTACTGTTTTGTATTTTTAAGAGGAACACCTAAATAATGAACCTGGCCTTTGTTGCTGCCAACTCCATCTGGCAGAAGGGTTATAACTTTAACAGCAACAAATTCTGCATGTCCTGGGTCTAAATAAAACTTACTAAAGTCACTTAAAAATAAAGTTAGTGTGGCTCCAGTACTAAATTTGTTCAGATATGAAAGATGTTTCTTAACCCCAGATCACAGGTGGAATTTGCAAATGTGAAAATCAAGCTGCATTCTTAAATATCGTTGCAAATCTGTACAAATCTACAGGCCAAATTCTGCCCTTAGTTACAAGAATACAATTTCTGCTCACTAGATTATGCCTGACTAATACTGGTCCAAATTCATCACCTTTTGTGGTTTTTTTACAAGTATGAGTGAATGAAACTTAGTAACTTTGCACACAAGTAGGCTAGAATTCAGTTCACTCTCTTACAGATGGCTGGGCTAACAGGAGTAAAAACCCCTGGGGGTGGGGGAAGAGGAAAGGAATAATCACTGTGAAATAAGCAGTTTTGAAGAAGCCAAGGGAGCAGAACTGTGAAGTAAGAAGGCTGCATATTTACTTAGCCACTTTTCTAAGTAGAATTTCATTTTATATTTTGCACTAAATTTTGTCATGAAGAGATTTATTTGACAGCAGTTAGGGGTATCATTAACTGTTGTAAAGCTGAGAACTATTGACCTCATTTTAACCTCCAGAAACAACCCTTCATAGTTTTGAGGGATTTATTAATTTCATTTTTGGGAATTTATGTTTAGCTGGTTTTGAATTTTATGTAGCCACCGGCATTCATTTTTAGTCCTGGTTTAGACTTTTTTGTATATTTAAGTATTTTCATAAACAACCCCACAAGTGACAAAATATCTCAAGACTTTGTTGTGCCCTAAAACTAAACATCAGACCCTGTTTCAGCTCTAGACTGTGCTAAGAATAGGTTTGGAATTCTTACTCTGATGAACACTGATTTTCAAGCTTTTATAACATGAAAACGCCTTTAACCCCATTGGCCTCATCCTATCAGAGTTGGTCAGTTCACACCACATTTTTGATTGAATGTTAACAAAGCTGGTTGGGCAGTTTTCTTCTTTGCCTCCACAGAAGAGCTGTTGTATGTACCTGCATCTTCTTAAAAAAGTATTTTTATATTGTAACTTTGCCAACAGTTCAGTGAAATGAAAGTCCTGTGTGTTTAAAAGAAAAAGTCCATGCTTTATTTCAACATCAGGAGCAGCATGCTCCTGTGGAGACAGGACTAACCTGATGGCCTTGGGTTCTATCCCTGACACTGTCACTCACTAGCTATTACCTGGGTAAATCATTTCACCATTCTAGGATGCATTTTCCCCATCTGTGGAATGTGAATATTGAAACCACAAAGAAGGCTGAAGGCTTTGAGATCCATGAATGACAAATATAAAGGCAAGCGTGAAGACACATTCTCTAACTTCCCCTGGGCTAGTCAAGCAAGGGGCGGTTGTTGCTTCTCTGCAGCAGAACAAATGAAAGAAACTCATGACAGTTTATCTGAAGCAGCTTGTCGTTTGGGAAGGAAATAAGAGAACCCGTTGTTGATGTGGCATTGGCAACGTACCAGGATGAAACCTGCATAAATGCAGTTTATCTGGTGGTCGCTTACTGTGTTGTACGGATATCCTTGTCATTATTATTAATCACTTCTATTCCTGTAGCATGTAGGAGCCCCAGTTGGGGAGCAGAACCCCATGGTGCTAGGGGCTGTACAACCACAGAACAAACAGATGGTCCCTACCCCAAAGAGCTTCCAATCCAAGAATAAGATGTGACAACAGATTGGCAGGGGAGTACAAAGTGACCAAGAGAGAATATTGTCTAGGTAGAGAAGAGAGAGACAGGCTGGGGCAAAGGGAATACCACACAGCGTGAGCAATGGGATGGTGGCAAACAACGTCTTAGTTCAATGATTTGTATGTGTGTGTGTTTGGGGAGGTTACTTAAGAAGGGATCCGCTGAAGGGAAAGGAAAGGGGCTGAGTGGGAGAGGGCAGGACAGGAGAGGTGGGATGACCTGATGTGGAGTGAAGGGAAGGTGAAGAGATTGTGGATGTGTCTGTACTGAAATTGGGAGGTGTAATTGCAGCATGCGTAGACATATCTGACCTAGCCTTGCTCTAATTAGATCAAAGGTAGCTCAAGTAACAACAGCACTGAACCCGCTGCAACATGTCCAGCAACCATGGGAGTGTTTACCCAGTATCCTGGGCAGGAGGGTCTAGCCCATGCAGCTACCATGCTAGATCAGAGCTAGCTTGGGCATGTCTCTATAGTCACACTTCCTGACTACAGTGTCGACATACCCTGTTGTCAGTGGAGGGCTGGAGCTAACAGTCACAGGGCAGAGAAAGGTAGAAAAATTGCAGCAGTTTTTCCTGAAATGTCC